ACCAAGCTGCACCACGGAGGTGACCACCGCTGGACCCGGCGCGCTGCTGGTGCACCAAGGAGATGCCACCACGTGTGGGAAGCCGCCTGCCCCCGCTGCCACCTCATGGGTTGTAACCACTGTGGCTCCAAGCCAAAGTGGCTCCCCGCAAAGGGGCTCCAAGCACCTCCAGGGCAAGGAATCCTTGCCCTCGCTATGGAGAAACTGCTCCTTCTTCTGGAGCAGAAGGAAGCGACCATGGAGGATGTGTTGGGGACATCCCTTGTCGATCTGGAGTGCCACCAGCCTCCTGGCGCAGCCTTACCAAGCAAGCTGAGTCCTCCTGTTCATCTCTTCCCTTCCCTCGAGAAATCTCACCTGCTCACTGCTTAGCTGCTCTAAAGCACTAGCCATTGAAAACGCAGAGCACAAGGGAAGCCCGGGACGGATCAAAGCAGCCATCCTAGGGGACATTGATGCCTACACACATCAGCAGGAGGGAGGACCTCCCCAGCGTGCGTTGTCCTTCCAACACCCTTCCATCCTTCCCACGCCGTTTAAATGGAGGGGCTGGAGGCAGATCTGCTGCGCCGGAGCCAGGTCTGGACCACACACCTCAAACACACRGCGAAGCGAGTGCCGGACACGCGCAGCACGCGGGATCATCCCTCCCCAGCGACCAGACAGCCCAAAGCATCATYGAGTGCACAGGAAAGCAAGCTCGCTCCCTGTTTTCCCTGATTTTCCCTTCTTTTTCCCTTTTCCCCCATGGGCATGCAGCTGTAGACCCCAGAGGCTCTGAAGGGCTTTCACCAGCATCCCCAGCACCCGGGCTGTGACTCGCAAAGACCCGGCATCCGAGGACAGCAGCTCTGCACCTCCCCGACCCCCGAGACCCACGGTGGGGCAGACGGGGAGGAGAAGCGCCTGCAGCCAGCGCCGTGTCTGCACGTGCTGAGCGGACGCCGGCGCGTGCCCGGCCCTACCTGGACTGCTTCTTGGGCGGCGGCGGCGGCGGCGCGAAGTCGCCCTTGTCCTTAGGGAACTCAAAGGAGAACGAGGACGACTTGCTGATCCCAGGCCGGCTCCCTGGCATCGGGCACTCGTCGGCGAGGTGGGCGCCAGCGCTCCGGTCCCCTGCTCCCCCTGCCCGCGGGGGGGTTGCCAGCTGCTCTTCCTCTTCCTCCTCCTCCTCCTCCTCCTCCTCCTCCTCCTCCTCTATCCGGCACTGCTTGCTCCATGCTGCCGTGTAGGCTTTCGGCCTCCTCTCGCCGCATGAGCCTCTGCCGGGCTCCTCCGCGGGAACGTGGGCGCTCGGAACAGGGGGTGCTCCACAGGCACCCGTGTCCGTACGGCTCCTCGGCAGCAGCGGAGCACGGCTYCCATCGCCGTCGCCAAACAGTGCCACGGCGGAGCTGGCCGGGGGCGCCCGCGTCCCCTCGCCGCCCGCCTGGCTGTTCTTGGACATCTTTGGCGGAATGGCCGGGCCCTCGGCCACGGCGGCCGTGGCGGGCGCTGGGAAGGTGTCCGCGGGCTCCCGGGCGGGCGAGGAGCTGCCGAGGTCGCCGTGGGGCGCGGGGCTCGCGCAGCGCCACTGCACGCCCACGGCCGAGTCCGGGCTGCTGAGGAAGATGGTGCGGTGCTCGTCGTCGGCGCGCGCCGCCAGCACGGTGATGCGGGCCGCCACGGGGC